TTTGCCTCTTGGTCCTTGGTTGAGTGATTTCTACCCAGCTCCCACCTGGATATCTACCCTGTTAGCATTCCCCACAATTCTTACCCACCAACCCTCAACACTTGCATCATCACTATCAAGCTCTAGACAGTCAAAACACTCCCTCACATACAGGACTACCCCACCACCTTTCATTCCTTGCCCGTCCCTTCTGAAGAGTTCACCACCAACCTTTGCACCATTTCAGTGGTGCCAGTCATCCCACCATGTCTTTGTGATGGCAACTATGCCATGGTTTTCCTCCTGTAACATGTCTTCCAGTGCCGCTCAGCCTCGGCTAGCTGGTGACAGGGGGAGCGGGGGCAGCAATCCCCCTCCCCCGAGCTCCATTGAATCCCAGGTGCCAGCGTTGGCATAAAACACAGAGCAGCACACGGGTCCCAGGGTAACTTTATTTGATAGCAAAACTTCCCCTCTTCTTCATCCTGGGAGCCCGAACTGAGAGCAGACAGTGACTTATATGTGGGGGCAGGTCTCAGGGAAGGGTACAATCTTTAACAAATCAGGAAAATTGGGAGGGAAAAACAAGGCAGGGAATACAATGTATAAACCAATACAAAATTTCAAGGGAGGAGAATATTTTCAGTGAATTACTAAAGTTTGAAGAAATAGAAACTGGCATCTAATAACAGAAGTGACGAAAGTTCTGGGAAAAGGGCAGAGACAAAAGGAAACAGCATAAGGAAACTACAAAATTACAAATCAAACAGTAAACATACTAATAAAACAAAAAACACACCACAACATTCCAGGATCTCCTGTTTGCTGCCCACGCTGCACGCACTGGGGCAGATACACTTCAGTTGGGTTATCAATCCCAATGCCTTTTTGGGGAGAGAAGCTCCAGTACCTGAGTGACCATTCTCAGGAGTTTCCATGGTTTCTAGCACATCAATAACACTTGCACTCTTGCTGCTTTATGGCAATGAAGTAGACATTTCCTATGTCTACTGAGATGGTAGCCTAAACGACCTCACTAACACGCCATCCTTCGAACAGTGTCAAGCGACTCCCAGGCTTATCTCAAGTGACCTGGTTTTTATCCCCTTCCCCCTTCAAATCCAATTTAAGGCTCACTCAACATGCCCTGCTAACTCCCGCACAAAGATCCTTTTCCCTGTGAGACAGATGTACCCAATAGGCTTGTCACCAGCAGGCTTGCTGTCATCTAAACCATCCCATGATCAAAAACCTCAAAATCCTGTTGGTGACACCTGGCTTAAAGCCAGGGATTTGTCTGTACAACTTTCCTGTTTCTACCCTGAACAGTGAACCCCCCAGACCAACCCCTCCCAGTTCTACTGCTGACCATGACAACCTGTGGTTGGGAATATGCCTGGGGTCAGCTGGGGTCCAATGTCCTGGCCATGTCCCTTTCCAACTCCTTTCACATCCCCACCCTACTCGCTGGTGGGGGCAGTATGAGGAGCACCAAAGGCCTTGATGCTCAGCATTGACTGAAACATCCCTGGTTGATCAATGCTCCCTCCAGCAAAAACCCAACCCACAGCCCCAGGAAAGAAATGGAACTTATCCTCTGCCCAAAACAGTACATTCTCCATCCCTTATTCTATGCCATGTACATCCTGATCAGGTCCTCTGGTACCCAATACCCACCAGCCCCTTCTCACCCTTAGCTATCATGCACAGATATCATTCCCTTAGTCTATGGACCACTCCTATGAAATGTCCATAAAATGCTCATGAAATGTCCACGTCATAGAATCACAAAATGGTTTGGGTTGGGAGGGACCTTAAAGCTCATCTTGTTCCAACCCCCTGCCATAAGCAAGGGGACCTTCCATTGGACCAGGCTGCTCTCCAGGCCCCATCCAACACTGAACATTTCTGGGAATGGAGCATATACCTGCTCTAGTTTGGCCTTCTGCATGGCTGCAGTGCCTCCACGGGTGTACCTGCTCTGTTGGGGGTTTATGCAGGGCCACACACTTTGAGGTGTTCCAGCATGACCTCCAGCACAGCCACAGATGCTTCAAGGTGTACTTTCTCTGGCATGGTCTTATCCGTGGACCACATTCCCTTCAGAGGTGCTCCTGCTGCACCATGGACATACCCAATGCTTTGGGGTGTCCTGCTTCCACATGGACACATCCACAGGTCACAGTAAGCAGAAGCAGCCACTAGTGAGAACCAGACTAATTTACAGTAAGGTGAGCACAGGAGCCCTGTGGTTTTACTTTCCCTTTCTCCCTGGTCTCCAGGGCTGCCCTGGCCAGGCTCTCCTCACACCAGATCATACTCCTCATCCCAAGTGCCCCAAGGACAGTGTCTCCTCCTCACCACAGCTCGCCCAGCTGGATTCCTGCCCTTAGCCAGGGATAGTGCTGCTTGCACTTCCCCCACTATAGCAAATCCTCTACGTGCCATCCCAGCGAGCCCCAGGACCCCTCCTCCTTGGTGGAGGGGTCCTCCAGCACCTCCAACTCTCATCCCCCTGACGCCCCATCACCCATGGATACATACATATAGGATGCCCCATCACCCATGGATATATACATATAGATACTCCCTACATCTGGCTGCTGTCCAGCTCCCTGCTGGCTGATGGTGCCCCTTGTCTGGGGAGGACCCTGCTTCTGAGGGACATGAACCCTGCTGGTATGTGGGGGTGATGGGTGAGCATGGCCAAGTCACTGCTGCCAGCAAAGGAGGAGTCAGAGGTGGCTGAGCACATGAGTGATGAGTCTTGGGGGTTCACTTTGGCTCGGAAGTAAGCCTGGGGGCCTAGCTGTAGGCTGCCATCCAAGTGTCATGAGCATTGGCTCCATGGTCACCCTGTTTTTTCTCTGAAGCTCCAAGTGTGCTGTACCCTGCTGTGCAGAGCTGAGTACCCAGAGAGAGGTATTGCTGCTGACCTGAGCCACAGCCTATGCTCTCCTCAGCAGCATGGCGGGGATTGGGGCAAGCACCACATCCCGGGTCAGGAGCACCCTGCATCCATGCACCCAGAGTCTCAGGACATGCTGCTGGCTGGGATCCCAGTGGGGTTGCTCCTGGTAGGTGATACAGCAGGGCAGGTCTCAGCTGGTGCTGGCATCACTGTCTGGGTCAGTGCTGGGACGTGTGTCGAGGAAGGGCTTTGCCCTCTGATGCAGCTGGGGTGCTTTCCCCAGCCTGCCCTGCATCTCTCAGCAGCCCCTCCCAGGCCCCAACACCCTCCCTGACCTGACCTTGCTCCTGCTGCCACACCTCCCCAGCCACTTGTGGAGCAACCAGTTGCTTCCCTGTCCACAGCACAACAGCATCTGGGGGCTTCCCTTAGGGTGGCTCTGCCCACCATGGAGCATCTGCTGGCCAGGACTCTGGCCACTGGTAGTCCCCTACACCAGCAAGACCTCCACCTCATCAAGGAGATGGTGCTGGACATGGCTCCCACCTTCTTAGCTACTACTGTGTCCACAGGAGCATTCCAGTGCCACCAGCCTATCCATGTTGGCTGCTTCACATCCACCTCCCTCTGGAAAATGGCAGTTGCCCTTCAACTGGGATGTCATCTTCATGATGGAGAACTGCTACAAGTCCCTACCGAGGACTTGTTCCATAAGGACAAGGAGGGCCTCATCCCACTTTTCCAGATGTTTGACGTTGCTGACATTGCCTGCTTCCAGCTCTGTTTCCGAATGTGCTCAGCACCTACCACTATGATTTTGTGAGAGTTGATGTCCCTGCAGGACAGTCTCTCCTGCCACCAGGCCACAGGGACATGTGGCAGGGAATGGTCCTGTCCCACCAGCTGTGCCCGGACAGGGAGGTCTCGATCTTGGTCATGGCGGGGGGCGTGCCATGGGCACAGGGCTTTGTGCATCTCCGAGCTGCTCTGACCTGTGGTTTGCAGTGGGGTCTGTGGGCAGCAAAGTGTGACAGAGCATGGCACAGCACAACACAGCATGGCACGAGATGGCACGGCATGGCAGGGGTGGGTGCCATGCTGTGCAGTGAGGAGTGTGCTACTGCCATCACACTGAAGGCAAGGAGAAGGGGTTGGGGATGGAGCCACCAGCATCCCAGGGAGAGTAGGACACGATGGGGGACACAGGACCACCACACAGGGTCCTGCATGGCAGGTATCTGTGCCCAGCTCAGCGTAGCCATAGTGCCACTGTCCCCAGGACACTGGCTGAGCCTGGCAGGGCCCTTTGCTGAGTGGCAGCTGTGGTGTCAGGATGCAGCTGTGTGTGGGGTCTGTGAGAGGGGATGGAGGCTGGAATTAACCAGACTACGGGGTGCAGCAGGGCTGCCTTGGGCAGATCCCTGCCCAGGTGGCTGCTCCACTGCTTGCCTTTCCCTGGCTCCTAAGAGTCACTGTAGGACTGGGGTGTCCCCAGGGGGCTCCTGTGGCTCCCTGGGCTGAGGGCAGCTCATGGGGGCTGCATCTGAAGGCTTCTCCATCCCCCCATCCCTATCCTTCCCACATTCTGAGCATCCTGAAGTGTGATGCCCATAGTCCAGGGGCTGCTCAAGAGGCTCAGGATCTGTTCCCCAGCCAGTCCCACAGCCCAGGGGGGTCGCAGTCCCCACAAGCACTTGAGGGAGCAATGGGGCTGGGACACAAGAGCAGGGGCCCTGCCAGCACAGGATGGTTACGGGGGCTGCCCCATGGAGCAGCAGATGGGACTCAGCAATGCCATGCTGAGGAACAGCCCCAACCCCCCCAGGTGCAGAGTGGGATGTGATGGCCCCATCTTCCACAGTGCCTGCAACCCAGGGCTTCTGCACCCACCCTCTCCTCCAGGGCAGGGCACAGCCATTGTGCCAGGTATTCCCTGGGCAGAACTGGGACTGACTGTGGCTCTCTAGCCCTTCACCAGGCAGGAAGGGGGTGAGGAATGGATCCTGCCCTTCACAGGCACCAGGGCTACCTCCTCTCCCTCCCTCCTCATCCCACAGGTGCCCTCTACACCCCTGGGCAGCACCACCCCCAGGATGCAGGTGACACTGGGCAGCCTTGATGTACTTTAATAAACCCTGGGGTCCCAGAGCCAGCTATGGGCAGAGCTGGTTCCAACCCAGGCAGTGCTCCTGACTTAGCTTGGGGCACCAGGAGCCCCACTCACAGTGGGGCCAGCACATGTGGGGCCATGCAGTCCCCAAAGCAGGTCAGAGAGACAGGCCTCCCTGGAGGTATCACACGTGCATGCAGTAGTGTGCAGCTGTCAGAGCAGGGAGCTGCACTGCAGGGTGCTCACCCAGCGTGGGAGTTGCTCCCCCATCTCAGCCCAGGCCCCCACTCTTCCCAGTGACAGGGGCCAGTGCTTGGGACGGCCATCGCACCTCCCTGGTGTCGACACCGAGGGGACTGAGCACCACGCAGGTGAAGTTGGTGTGCAGGTGCTGGCTGTTGAAAGAGCTGAAGTGCAGGTCACGGTGCAGGGCCCACCCCGAGCCCTGCAGCTCCTCTCTGTGAACCCAGCGGGGACCAATCAGTGCCCACTCCAGATGGGCAGACCCAGGGGCCTTGTCCCAGCCTGGGCTGCCCCGCTGTCACTGCCCCCTGTCCCCATACTCACTGCACTGTCCCCTCACGCACAGCCCCGTCCGGGTGCAGGCTCTCCACGAAGAAGCCGTTTTCCAGCCAGTAGAGCAGTGTCGACTCTGGAAGCTCACTCAACGCTTCACATGACACAGTCACACTCTCCCCTGCAGCCGGAGGGCACATGAAGGTCAGGGCAGCTGCAAGGATCCCCAGTGCCCTCCAGGCACAGGCAAAGCCCCCCCTCCCTAACTAATCAGAATATTCCCCCACCTCATCTGCACCCCAAAATCTTGGCTGTGGGTGGAAGATTTGCCTTTTGTCTGCTGGAGGCTGGCATAGAAGCTGAACCCCACTGCAGCCTCCTCACTCTTAGGCCCTGCCATGGCCCTGAGGGTCTCTCACCTGGGTGAGGAAGCTCTGCTGGCATCCGCAGGGTGGTGATGCTGGGCGGCTGCAAGGACATGGCACCTGGGGGAGCAGCAAGGGGTGAGGTGGGAGGTTGAGAGTGACCCTGAGACCCCACATTTTTGTAGTGGGTGAGGAGGCAGGGTCCCACAAAGGGACAGAGGCTCTGCTCATCCCCAGACCCCTGAAGAGGCCTTTGAGTGGCACAGAGCCCGGGGTTGACCTTAGGCTCCCCAGCCCCCCACTCACCTGTGCAGCAAGCAGCCAGGCCCCAGCAGAGCAGAAGGATCCTGGCAGGGCTTCCCAGGGGCTCTGCAGACAAAAATGGAGCTCAGTGCTGGGCACACAGGGATGCTCCCCATGAGCTTGGGATGGTTTCCCCGGCATTCCCTGAGCCTGGCATGGTCCCATCCTCAGCATCCTCCCAGCTGGCATGGTCCCATCCTCAGCATCCTCCCAGCTGGCATGGTAACCTCAGCATGCTCCCGCCAGGACTCCCCAAGTCGACGATCCCGTAACCCTTGTATCCGTCCAGCACCCCCGGAGTCTGTGATATCCCGTACCCCCCAGCATCCTCCTCCCGGGGTCACTCAAGTCGTGGCTGGTGCCCCCCAAGGCTGTCCGCCCACCGCTCCGGTACATACGGAGTCCGTGCCTCAGCCGCGGGCGGCGGCGCTCGGCTCCGCGGCGCTTTATGAGGCGGCGCGGGGAGGGGCGAGAGGCAGCGCCGTGACTCACGGGAACCGGCCCCGGCCCCGCCCCGGCGACGTGGCGCGACACGGCCGCACGGAGACCCTCTCCTGGACGCGTGTCGATGGGTCGTGCGCCGCCCTGTTCCCGAGCCCCATGAACATGCCTTGTGCCCCCTGTGCTCTGTGCGGCCTGCACGCGGGGATACACATCCCTCAGGCACTCCCAAGATCGGCATCCCATGACCCTCCCCCCACCCCTGGGAGAACAGCCGTGGGCTCGACAGGGATGTAAGGCCCAGCTGGGCCCACCCAGTGTCCAGCACATGGGGCACTGGCTGAGTATCACAGGATTCTGAACATGCTGGTTTGTTCCCCGATGCTTTGGGATCAGGGATGAGGCAGGGTCCGCACAGGAGGAAGGTGGGTGAAGCCCCCAGGAGACTGAGTATGACAGTGTCTGGGAGAGCCTGGGTGTTGGTCCGTGGGTGTCTCAGCTGGGGGAGGACAACAGCTTAGCAGATAGAAACCCCCAGGGCTTTCGTTCTTGGCTGCAAGAAGCCATCTCCTGTGTCCCACAGCAGTCCCCCACCCCCAGAGCCAGACCCTTGACAGCAGATGTGGTTCCGACAACCCACTGGTTACAAAACCGGGGGCCAGGCCCCACACCCCACTTCCCAGCAGCATCAAGGCTGGGAGCCAGTGTGGGTACAGCAATAGGGCAGAAGCAGCCTCCTGAGTCACAGGCCCTGGCAAGTCTTGGAAAAAAGTCCCTGAACTCCCAGTGAGTTTTGTTTTCCATTCCCAGCAGAGAAGGAAGGTGGCAGGAATAGGAGTGTTATGGAGACTTGGCAAATGCAATACTTTCCCAGCCTCCTGCTGGGATAAGGGCAGTGGCTGCATCCTCCTCACACAACCACGGGTGCCAAACGGGCAGCGATGAATCAGAGGTGGCCCCCAGGGCAGCACCCAGCTCCTCTGCCACCTTCCTGCTCCCATCGATACAACCAGCTTAGCTCTGGATGCTACCGGGTAAAAGAGGTGAGCAGGGAATGCAGATGAGTGCTCACCTCTTTTATGAGGTGAGCATCTGCAGGGAATGCAGATGGGTGCTTGGTCATCATCCACCCAATATCCTTCCCCTAGGAGAGATGAAAGGAGGAACCTTCCATGCCCTGCAGCAAGGAAGATGATCAAGAAAAACCCAGGGCCACATCTCCGTTTCCAGGGCTCTTATTTTGGTGTTTGGCACAACACTGCAATGTGGTCTCACCCAAAAGAAAACTCAGAGGATGCAGCACGGTGCTGGGGTTCCCCAGGGGGAACACAGCACCCACAGCCATGTCACCATTGTGGCCACTTCCCAAATCCCCTGAGCCAGGAGCTGCCTTGTAGCCCTCCACCAGACCCCAGTGCCCTCGGGGAATATGATTCAAGCCTCCACATGCCAAAATACCACCACTGGCCCTGGGATTGGGGACTTTGCCCCCACCCACTACCAAAATTGAGCCCAAGGCCACTTGCCCCAGCAGTACTTTGGCATAGCTCCTACCAGCAAGGCCAGGAGGATGTCATGGAGTAATGCTGGGGCAGGGAAACACCAGTGCCAGCCCAACCTTCACTCCATCCCTTTTATTGCAGTGCCAAGAGCAATACGCAGTGAGGGCGGACCTGCGCCCCGGGGCAGGGCACCTGCTCGTGAAGTACCATTACCATCACCCAAAAGGGCACAGAGAGGAACAGCACTGGCCCCACTCCATGCCTTGGCTGAACCCCCTGCGCAGTCAGGGGACACCGCTGGACACCAGGGAGGAACACAGAAAATCTGGGAGCATATAAAAGGGTTCCCCAAGGCAGAGCCCCCCATCACCATGCTGGAGAGCAGCCTGGTTGCTGCTGGGTAGCCAGGTGACTTTCCATCCCCTCTTTCAGGGCACTGGGTTCCAGCCTCTCCTCTGCAGCCCCCATATCCCATCCTCACTTCCAGCAAGGCTGCTCCAGGGTGCTGGCGTTGGGAGCCGACAAAGCCTTGGCCCTTCTTGCCACGGCCTCCCCTGACAGAGTGGCAGGAAGGAGCTGAAGAACAGCCCCCAGCCCAAAGCTCAGCCCAGGAGGGCCCTGCAAAGGGCTGGACAGAGACAGGGAAAGGGGACAAGTGTCTCTTTTTGGCTGCAATAGAAAGTTTTAAATATGCTCATTAAAATAATTGCTTTTTAAAAAAATCCTCCCCTAGCCCCAGCAGGAGGGGCCCTGATGTTGCTGTCCTTGGTGGTGGCCAAGGTCCTGAGAGGTGACGGAGCAAAGCCAGCATCCCTGGTGGCAATGTCCTCTTGTGGTTCTGCGGCTCCCCACCACCTGCCCTTACTCCAGCCCGAGAATGTAGTTGATTCCCTGGACCAGTCCGATGATCACCGGCTGCCAGGCCACCAAGTAGCGCAGCCAGTCCAGCAGCTGCCCGTACATGACGTGCGGCCTCTCCCAGCTGCGCAGGAAGGAGTTAAAGAGTCATGGGGAAATGGATGACAGAAGCATGGCCCACCCAGAAGCCACCCAAAGGTGCCCCAAAGCAGGGACAGAGAACACAGGTGCCCAGAGAGGGATGGACAAGCACTTGGGGAAGGACAGACATGAGTCCTCATGGAGGGACAGCTGTGGCCAGGCTTGCCCTGGGTTTTGCAGGGCAAAGGGTCTCTGCCAGAGCCACATGCTGCAGCAACCTACTGAGGGTGCCAGGCAAGCCTCTCACCCCTTTTGTGCTCTACCCACTGCTTCCTTTCCCAAAGTGCTGACTCCCAGCAGGAGAAAGGATACGGATTACTGAACATCCTCTTGAGATCCACCTTCTCTTTGCAGTATGGACACGTCTGCTTCTTCCCGACAATGCACCAGCCCCGGATGCAGAACTCATGAAACCTGGAGAGTGGCACGTTAAGGGGAACTGGAAGAAGAGGGGGATACGTGGCTCAGTGTGGAAGAAACCACCAAGGCCAAGGAAGTTCCCCCAGACCACTGGAAACATCCCCCCACGTGAAGATTGTGCATTGCAAAACCACAGCCCTTTCCCAGAAGGTGCAGCAGCTTCCAGGGAGAGCGGAAGGAGCTCATGGGGCAGCACAACAGAGCCAGGGTGGCAGCATGAAGGCCTTGACCAATGCATGGGCACCAGGGAGACTGAAACTCTTTGGTGATGGTGCCCAAGCACTGAGAAGGTTTGGACAGCCTGGGAGAGCTCTGTGAACTGCATGCATTTTGGAAACCTTCTTCAAAGGCTTCCTGGAGATTAACATTTAAGGAATTTCTCTGTAAGTAAGGGTCTGACTTACAGGTGCTTGCTATGCTCTGTCAAAAGGATTTGCATAACCTGAGCACAGCCTGGAGAAGTTACAGGAAAATATGAGGTGGCTGCAGCTGACTCTGCCATGTACAGGGATGTCACAGAGCAAACAGACCTTCCCCAGAATATCTCTGCTGCTCAAACCATGGAAGAATGCCAGACAGCAGCAACAGGAATCACTTCCTTGCCAGCCCTGGAGCCATAGATGCAGGAGTGCCCAGCCAGCCATCACCCTTGAGGACCACCAGGAGCACCAACCAGCTCCTCTGGCAGCCACACCACTCCAAGCTGCTGCAGTCCCAGGCCCCTGCACAGTGTCAGCCATAAATCTCACCAAGAGTTCCCAAGAGTTAAATTTAGGCTCCTGTTTTGCCGGCCTGACCTTTGCTCAAGCCCAGTTTGGAAACCACCTCGCAGGCAGTAACACACACAGTGCCAGAGGACATCCCATCTCTACACTGAATCACCACAGGGAAAAAACCCCGACTTGCCATCCCAGCTGGGAGTGAGCACTAACCAGTACTTCCAGTTTCAAAACCCACTTCCCATCAATCAGCTGACAGGAAGAGCTGAGTGAGTCCAGTGTGCTGGAAACCCTGGAGGAGTGCTGGAGAAGCAGGAAGGTGCTGGGCTGTGGCCAGAGCAGGTAGCAATCAGCAGTACTGGACCAGGGGGATGTTTTCAGAGGGGGCCAGAAGTGCTTCCCAACAGTTCTTCCTTACAGACCCACTGCATAGACTTACAGACTTATAGACCTTATAGACTCTGATGAAGGGCAGTGTGGCATGGAGCAGGGATGTCTCATGTCCTGACCTCACACCATCACTTCCACCAGAGCATCTGCTGGGGGCACTGCCAGGCAGATGGGTCACAGCAGATTTGTCAAAAACAGGTAAAAACTGAGGTGCAGCTCCATGGCTCAGCAGAGGGAGCTGGGGATGAGAAGGAAGAGGAAACAACCACTTGAGAGTGGCGATGAAGTAATTTCAGGGACACCTCTTCCCATGCCAAGTCAGTGCTGACACAGCCACAGATCACATGCAAATTCAGCCAGACAGCCCCATGTCCCAGAACAGGCATTTCTTCACCCAGTGCGGGAGAAGCCATGGGGCAGGGGCTCCCTGCTGCCCACCCCAGCATGGGGCTAGTGAGGCAGGGGGCTGGCACCTGCAGAGAAGGATACACGTGGTTGCAGGAGAGACGGTAGGTGTTCTCAATGATCCCTTCCTCATTGACATCCACGAAGATCTGCTGGCCACAGACGGCACAGACGCTGTCAGAGAGGTGCTTGGTGGGCATCCCTGAGGCGCTGTAGAACTGAGCAAGGGCAGAGCAGAGGGAGAGCAGTGACAGTGGCAGGGCACGTGTCCCACACCCACGGTGCCACAGCTAAGCTCTAAGGAGGGCTGGGGTTAGCGCCCCAGGAGTCCAGCCTTGGCATTGGGGCTTAAAAACTTTGTTACAGGTCCGGCTGCAGGAAACAACTACAACAGGACAGCTGCTCAGTGATGTAGTGACCCATCACACCCCAGCCCCATGCTCCCCCTCCCCATGTCAAGGGGCCAGCCCTCTTTGCTCCCCAACAGCCAGGTGGGTTTTCAGCTGCCTGTCAGGACCGGGGCAGAGACTGGGGAAGAGAGCAGAACAAACTGGTGGTCACAGCTTTGACCCAAAATAACAGCCTTGGGCTGCCAGTCAGATACAGCCCCCACCTCCAGCCCTGCAGGTCCCTGACACTCATTCAGCAAAGCACAGAGCAGCCACCCCTCTCCATTTCCAAGCCTCACAGCTCAGCACAGGCCTGACATAACACGGAGAGTGCGGTCACAAAACCAGGTCCCACACACTCCAGCTGCAAGGGACCCCTCAGGATCATTGAGTCAAACTCCCTGCTCCACCGCACTACCTAAAACTAAACCACATGA